GTGGTTTTTGAAACTCTTTGGTCCGGTTGATTTCTGGAACTTGTTTTTGATATTGGCGCTGATCTCTGTTTTGAAAAAGATAGCTTCATGCTTGGTGACCTTATTTTTTTCCGTCAAACAGATCTCCTAATTTGGATCAGCTATTGGCGACCGTTCTTCGTGCGTTGTCTATTAGCTCTTTCTGTTGCTCTACTTTTCAGAAATTTTAAGTGGTACCAGTGTTTTGCGGTTTCAGTAAACTTGCCATGTTTAGCAGAAAACACTTAAGTAAATTGAATCGAATGCAGTAACAAATACCCATAGCAATCACTCACTCAACAGTTTATTTTGCGTTGTGTAAATTAAACTTATTTATTCCTTTTTAGTTTTTTGATACCGGGTTGAAGCGACGTAATTACCGTCTCCTTGCTTCTAGTCCCATAGGGGACCATTTACGAAGGCTACGGCTCCATGGCATTTGAGCACCTGCAGTACATGAATGCAAATCCGCATCACTAAGCATATGTCATGATCCGTAGCATATTGTTTACTTGCAATCCGGTATTAAAAAAACAAAAAAGAATATCTTAGAGGCGGTATCGATAACTAGCAGTATGCTAGTATACTCATAGGATGGTGTTTTATTTTTCTGTAAACTTATGTTGTTGCTGATGATTCTTACCACAGCAGTCATCAAGGCCTGGACGTGTGTTAAGTTTCAGCTACATCAGAATTCCGTAGTTTTAAAATTGAAATTTTCCCTAATTCCGTCGTAACTACATTAAAATTTGCATTCTTGTGAGTTTGCGTGTCCGTTTAAAATCACGACTCCAAAAAACATCTATCAGTCTACGTTCTGCATCTCTGAAAACAAACGATTTGGTGGTACAGGTTCATAAGGCACATAACGTGCGTTATTCTAACCACTACATAAATCACCTTCAGTTAGCAATCCGAAAATGTCATAATTCATCAACAACGCACAAAAGTTAGAACAAGCGTTTATTACATCAACCGAAACATGTCGGTAATTCTTAAGCACACGATTACATTAATCAATTGTTAAAAAAATAGTATTTACAAAAATCAGATCTAAATTGAACCTTTCACAGTGTACATCGTTATGCGTTCGAAGACAATTCAGAAACGCATAAACAGACATTGCTTTTTCGACCGGAAAGAATGGCATTTGCTTGAATAACGCCGGAGAAGGAGGTGGTAGAGGCGGCGTCAAGCGGGGCTTTTCGTTCGGTGGTCGAACAACATTTTCCCTCACACTTCAGGTATCCAAAAAACGAGTAGACGAGTGAGTGATCAAGTTATGGAGACGGAGACGAACCTCTACTAAACCGGTAGCTTCGAAACGACGAAAGAACGGATGACTGGTGGCGGCAGCGGCAGCAGCAGCCTCAGAAACCGGACAAATAATACGCTCCAATGGATGACAACAGCAGCACAATGGCGAAGTTGAAAAGATTCGGCAGAGAGTGTCAAAGTTTCAACGATTCGAGACTGTTCGTCACTGACCTGGACGACAGCGGCTTTCGCTGCGCTGGTTCGTGCGCAGGGGGTTGGTTGCACAGGTCGGATACCGTCACACTGCGTAGCAACTCCCAGTTGCACGTTTTTGTCGACGGTGGGCTGATGCGTATTCGGAACAACGGAACCGACAGAGGTCTGATGCCATCGTTTGGACTGTCTTGCGATTCGGCTGCACCATCGGCACTTACGTTAGAATACGCTTCCTGAGAAACTTTAAAAAAAATATTACAATAATACAGATAAAATAAAACAGTAAAGTGATAAAAAAAATAAACAGCACTTATGATCTGTCTTAGACACATTCAGCGCGGAGTGGGAAACCACCAAATAAGATATAACATTACAACAAAGT